ACTAACACAAAAACAACAACAAATAGTGGCAAGGCTGCAGCCAAAAGGGAACCCCAATACACTGCTGGTGGGAATGTAATCTATTCAACTACTCTGGAAAGCAGTACAGAGGTTCTTCAAAAACCTACACAAAACTACTCTTTGATCCAGTAATTCCACTCTTGGGCATTTAGGCAATATAACACAAATAAGGTTAAGCCACCAGCACAAACATGCCAACCATAATCATTGTGGGACTATTCATTATATACAGATGACCCTGAATGAATGAATGGATCAAGAACATGTGCTATATATACAATGGAATTTTACTCATTCGTTAAAAAGAATATTATAACATCAGTAAGAAAATGGAAAGACTTGGAAAAATTATATTAATTGAAGTAAGCCAGACTCAGAAACAAAGATTGCATAGTTTCCTCATTTGTGGTAGATAGAATGTACCTATAAATCTATAAGCAACATGTTTGGTGGTATGCAAGTGGTTACAAATGAATAAATGTAAGTATAATAGACTCTATAGCCAGGCACCAGTGGCTCACACCTGTAACCCTAGCTTCTCAGGAGGCTGAGATCTGAGGATCATGGTTCAAAGCCAGCCTGGGTCGGAAAGTCCATGAGACTCTTATCTCCAATTAACCACTAGAAAGCCAGAAGTGGAGCTGTGACTCCAGTGGTAGAGCACTCCCCTGAAGCTGAAGAGCTCAGGCCCAGAATTCAAGCCCTATGACCACCAAAAAATAGATTCTATAGAGAACTCAAATAACATAATTTTTTAAGAAAGACTAAGTCAAGGCCCAACAAAATTAAGACCAGGAAATAGGTACATGCAAGGTGGGTGGGGCTACGAGGAGAGGTGTAGATGAATGAAGGGGGAAAGAAGGGGATAATGCAGTCAAGAATTCATTGTATATACCACAAAATTAAGAAAAGTAAGGGAAGGGGTAGATCCAGAGGGAATGACCATGTTGAAGGAAGTAATACTGATTGAGATGCATTGTATTAATATACTGCTTTGTTAAACAACACCTCCTTAAAGATAGCACCTCCAGTTAAAGATAATAAATTTTTTTAAAATCCTGTGGGATTCAAACTTTCAAACTAGTGCTCCTCATATACACCAGAGATTCACACATTCCAGAAAATTGAAAGATCTTCCTCAATGAACTGGGAACATCACCCTAGAAACCATGAAATATCTTGTAAGTCTTGTAGGTTTGAGAGCAGTGGAAGGGACAGGTTGTTGAGAAGGGAAAATCTACCTCTTTCACTTTATGTTAGGTGGGGAGACTGATACTCCAGCCTTACTTTCAGGCTATTCTGTCTACTTAGGTAAGGCCTCTCAGGTAAAAGAGTATCTTGAAAGTGGGGTACATGCATTCAGAATGATTAATAACATTGTCCAACCTCCAATACAAAAGTAGACTTTCAGCAAAATAGAGCTTTTTTTAGCATCCAACCCAGAGGTACAGTCCTAAGTATAGACAGTATTAGCTGGGCTGATATTTGGTAGCCAAGCAAGAGAGAAGTAGGATGCTGCCTAGCGCAGGTTCAAGTTTCTGCCAGCAGAGGGAGACACTCTCATTTGAGAGTCTGCCAGACCATTCTCACCTCACATGGAAGCTAGGAAGATGGAATTTTGCTGTTCTCTTTCAGGTATCCAGGAGCCACAGTGGATTCCTGGGTTGAGAAAAGCCACAACAACCATCTGAAGAACACACATAATGCCTTCTCTGGACCCTAGAAATCCTGACTCCATCCAGTTAGATGATGGGCTTTGTGTCCAAGTTAAACTGAAAAACATGCAATCACATACTTCATGGAGAGAGAGCAAGACCACCTCCTTTCCATCAAGGATTCTATGTAGATCTTGCCACAGAGATCTGAGATATGAGGGAGGCATGAGGGAAGGGAGGTGTAAAGCACCAGGAAATGGAGAATGAGGAGAGAGACCTCACAATAATCATTTCTTTTTCTCTGGTGTCTGCTGGGTTAGAGTCTGGTACTACAGAACAAATTATGAAACTCAAAGAACAAATTGGTATGATGATGAGCGAAAAGAAAGAGACTTGGGGTCTGGGAGCAGGTATCTGGGGTAAGGCTCATTCTATGTACAGGTAGAATTAAAGGGCTCAACATTCTCCTTCTTGGGTGGGAGAGTGGGGAGAGGGGCCCAGGTGAAGCATTCTGGGTTACCACAAATGTTGGTCAGCATGGTAGGAGTCCTTAGCAGGGTACTCACAGTTCCTGGTGTTGGTTTTGAGCTGACTGGAAGCATTGTGGTGAATGTTTTCTGCATCTGGATGTGGCAGTCTCACATTCCTGATCTGCAACTCTGAATCTTCAGGTGTGTCACTTCCTGGGTTGGTCTGGGTCACAGCATGGCCAGGGGGCTGCTATTGTGGCTTAGCCATGCTGCAGGTACAGGATGGGAGTTGGGGGAGAGGGAGAGGTACTTTATGATTTTTCTGTCCTGTGCATGTTAAGTATAAGTTCTTCTTTGTTCTTGTTATTCTCCATTTTTGTTTTCCTTGCTGTCATTCTCTTGAGGTGAAGTGCCTGTTAGGACACTAAATATCTGATCAGAAAGAGCTAGGATGATTCCCTGTTGCTACTTTGCCATCTTTTCCCCTACTGTGTTTTAATTCTTTATGTATTCTGGATATTAACCATTAACCTGTTAAATAGTTGGTAAAGAAGTGAGACTGCCCTATATAGACAAGATCTTATCCTATCTTCTACTTGGATCAGAATGAGCTGACTGCTCAGAATGAGGTTGGCTAAGCCTTGTGCCTGCTCTTGATTCAGGGGCACTGTGGAGCTCCAAGAAAAATCCCACTTGGAGCAAATTTCCTCCCTAGACATTGTTCCCCAACAGGACCTTCACATTGCTGGCACAAAATGCAGACACCATCAGGTAGGTGCCAGTAACCTAAAATCCTAGGTACTCAAGAGGCTGAGATCTCTGGCAGAAAATTTTGTGCAAGTCTTATCTTCAATTAACCAGTAAAACACCAGAAGTAAAGATGTGGCTTAGTAACAGAGTGCTAGCCAAAAGCCAAGTGAGAATGTGAAGTTCTAGATTCAAGCCCCAAACCTGGCACACACAAAAATATCATGTTCTCCTCCTTAGACTCCAGATAGGGCCAAATGTCTATGACGCAGCAAGCCAGACAACAATAGGGAGCAAGCTCAGCTCCTCCAGGCTATACAGAAGCCCTGTACAGCATTGGCCTTCCTTTGGTAGTTGTAAGGTGCCACCCATGGTAGGGTGTGTGATACCTAAGGTGTGTCACAATCACAGATTCTAGTCTTTGGTCTCACAAAGTCCTGGATGACCTCAAGCAACTTCAGGCCCAGCTGTCCTTAATCTCCAAGAACCCCTTCCCTTATTTGATATGTAGGATATGGAAGATGGAGAGGAACTGGGATAAACAAACAAGTGTGGAGAGCTTGAGCCCTGCAGGCAAAGCAGCATGTAGGCAATGCCATCCAAAAGTTTGTATTCTTGAAAGTTATCTAAGACTAGACAAGTGGGTAAGGGGCATAAAAAACATGAACCCTTTGTAATTGGCACTTGGATTTGGTGGACAGGAGTCTATCACATTTGGAGAAGATCAGCTTGGATCAGATATAGTGATTTTTCACCTCCCTTGCTGCCAAAGCTCACTTCCTGGCCACTAAGTGAATATCATCAACCTCTTGATCCAAGGTGGAGGGTATGATTCTTCCTCACAGAAACAAGTCAGGGGATCCTCCTAGACATGCAACAGGAATCCAGACCACGAGAACCAGTTCTGGGAGCACCTCCAACCAGACAGGCAAGAACTCAGGTTCAAATACATTGCCTTCCCTTAAGTGGAGAAGGGTTCTGATCACCCCCCCCCCCCCGAAAAAGACACCCAAATAACTCATATGTGTCTGGGTGAAACTGCGACTCTCGGGTTCAGAAAACAGAGCAAGATCATTTGGTGTCCCTAACATTTCAGGCTCAGGGCCATCATGTGTTGAGGCTGGGTGTGTGAGACACTGGCATAGAGCAAGTGGGAACTCTGTGTAAGGTACCAATTCCTGGCCAGGTCTTCGAGGAGTGCAAATCATCTCTCCTTGTGTGTCAGAACCCCTACTCATCCTCCAAATCTCTGGCCCTTTTGTGCCAGCTTCTCATCTGGAAAATAGGTAGAAAATGGGTGGAAAATATAGTTAGGTCACCTCTATGGAATGCATGATTAAAATTATTAAGAAAAGATTTTGTGGAGACTATAAAGTAAAATTAACTCCTAACAAACTCAGGGCCCTTTGTGAATCAGAATGGCCCTCATTTGGTGTAGGATGGCATCCCCAGAAGGGTGACTAGACCCCTCTATAAACTTTAGACCTCCCCCCTGTCCTTAGGAATAAAGTTTGGGTACCTCCCCATTTTCTTTATAAGCCCTTAGGCAATTCAAGTCTCATTTACAAGTGTTCAAAGATCCATTTATATGCAAATGGAATGCCAAACTCACTAGCAAATGTTCTAAAAACATTGGTAAACTGTTTAAGATTAGAGATTCTGTTGGTTGTTGGCCAAAGTTTTTTAGTCTTTGTTTTTCTAGCACTGTCCATACGATTATATCCATCTTAAAAGCACTACCTTTAAAATATATCATTTCCAGAAACTTAGCATCTGTTTTTCATTCTGAGCTCAACTGTATGCATACTTTGCAAATTGAATTTAAAACATGTTCAAAATAATCTGATATTTTAAAACACAACTAACCAAGCCCTCACATATAAACCAGTTTTAGTGTTCCAGTGAAAAGTCCAAGGCTACAGAGTCACACCAAGTGTGCCATCATAACACAGAGAGTTTGGCCACAGGCAGCTTGGTTAAGGAGACAGATTCCAACACTTGCTAATGTCTGCAGCAGTGGTGGCTCCTGCTGCCACGGCCACCATATCAATAGACAGAGCCTGGGACAAAGTTCACCAGAGATGGGGTGTGAGCTGATTCTACTCACCAGCAACAAGAACTGACAAGGAGCAGAAATCTTCATCTTGCTGAGCACAGATAGTCATGGACCTTGGATGGCCTGGAAACCAAAGGAAAGACGTAAGTACCCCTCAATATATCCTCACTCCTTTTCATGGGGCAGAGGAGCAGTGGTGAGAAGGTCACCCCTCCCCCACCACTGGAGCAGCTAGCACATAACTTAGGCCTTGGAAGAAGACAATAGGAGCCATTCAACAGGTCAAAGGAAACTGCGGGGCTCAGCTCCACCTCCAGGGAAAATTGCCATTCCCAGGCAGAAGAAGCTCTGCCCATGGAGGAGTGATTTCTTCACTGGGTAAACAGAGCCAGAGGTTACCCTACCCTACTGCATCTCCAGCTGCAGGAGAGTAAAAGAAAAACAATTGGAAACACACTACACATAAATCCTAAGAATGGCTCCAGTCTGGGCTGTGTGAGTGTCTCAGGAGATAGCCCATCAGGGAAAATCTACTGATTGCAGACAGGCCGCAAACCTACCCAAAACTTAGCTCCCTCATAAAAACTCCAAGTTAGAGGAAACAGCCATCTCCATCTTTTGTGATACTCAAAGCAGATCACCCTTTCACTGAACAAGCCTGGGAGGAGAGTCATAAAGTCCCAGGCAAGGCAGAGCTTCTTTCAGCCTGCTCAAACTGATTTAAGAAACCAATCAAGCCACAGGAAAACCAAACACCACAAGCAAATCAGAGACCTCACCAAGAGACTGGTTGCAGACACAGGGGAGACACAAGATTCCACCACCCAAAAAAAATGAAGAATTCTTTTTTTTTTTTGGTCTGGTTGTGGGGCCTGAACTCTGGGCCTGAGCACTGTCCCTCAGCTCTTCAGCTCAAGTCTAGTGCCCTACCACTTGAGCCACAGCGCCACTTCCAGCTTTTTCCTTTTTGCTTATGTGAGGAATCGAACCCAGGGCCTCAGGCATGCAAGGCAAGCGCTCTATCACTGAGCCAACTTCCCAGCCCCAAGAATTCGTTTTTATATCTAATTTTAATTTTAAAAAATGTTTTCTAATTTTTTCATCATTTTAATTTAAGTTTTTTTTAACTTCTCTTTTTATTCTTTTCCCTTTTGGAACTTTTTTTTTTGCTTTACTTAATTGGTGTTCTGTTCATTGCTAGATATATACCCATCTTTGATTATTAGATCTTCATTGTGTGCATAATTTAATCAGATATCGATTACTCAATTCACAAACTCAGCCTTAACTCCTTTAATTGTAATATTCTTTCTTCTTTCTTATACTTATATAGTCTTTTAAGTGATTCAATTTAAAATTTTTTGTTGTTCATTTTTCGTTTTTCTGTATCTCTCTTCTTTCCTTCTATCCTTTTCCTCTCTATGTATTTAGGTCTTGGCTATATTCCCTCTCTCCCTTTCCCTCCCCATATTCCTTTAATCTTATTTCCTCATCATAATTCTCCCTTTTAATTTTTGGTCTGCTGACTCCTTCTATGATTTTCATAGTTTGATTGATCTCTAGTTGTTTTTTATTGAACTAGATTGCATCTGTTGAACTAGATTCTCTCTGTACTCATTTTATTCTTTATTGTTAGTCCTGGGGCTTGAACTCTTGGCCTGGACGCTGTCCCTGAGCTCTTCGGGTCAAGGCAAGCACTATACCACTTGAGCCATAGTGCACTTCCGGTTTTACAGTGGCTAATTGGAGATGAGAGTCTCACAGTTTCTTGCCTTGCTGGCTTTGGACCATGATCCTCAGATCTCAGCCTACTAGGTAGTTAGGATTACAGGTGTTAGCCACCTGTGCTCGGCTTGTATCTGTACTCATTTTGACTACATCAAACAATCTGTACAAATACAGGGCTCTGGTTGATGCTTGCCTTAAAATAGTGTTCTAGCATGGAATTGGCTTTGCTTTCATATCCAAATGGGCAGAACAAGCCAGAGAAACACAAGAAAAATGGCAAGTTCAGGTATCTCAAATCCCATTATTGTTCATTATTCATTAACAGCGCAATTAATGAATAATCCAGAGGAGAGTTCCCAAAATGCTCTACAAACACTACTGGTAAACATGTTGAATGAAAAGATTGAAAGCCTGCAAAGGACTCTGTGTGAGCCTGATAGAGAAAGACGTGAGCATGATAGGGAAATGTGTGAGCATGATAAGGCTAAAAAAGATTAATACAGGAATTTTGTGAGCATGAGGAGGCTAATCAAAGATTAATTGAGGAATTGCATGAGAGGGATGAGAATAAAAGTTTAATACAAGCATTCATGGAATTCCCAAACAGAAAGATGGAGGAAGCCATGGAGGCCACAAAGGGAATGCTGAATGAAGCCAACAGAAGGGAAGGGAATCCAATGAAATTATAATCAATCAACTAAAGGAGTTGAGAACGAACACTGAAAACCAAATTAAGGAAGTAAACAAGTCCATACAAGAACTAAAACAAAGCTCCAACAAAGAATTTGAAGCCATCAAATCTGACCAATTAGAAGGAAAGAAAATTAAAAACAAAGTAGAAAATCTTGACAGTAGGTTAGACCATGCAGAAGATGAATCTCTAGGATCGAAGACAGCCTAGACATTACAGAGAAAGTACACACAAGTATTCAAGACAAATCTAAGAAATGTGAGAGGTCTATTCAACATTTAGAAGACAGCATCCAAAGGCCTAACTTAAGGCTAATAAGTGTAGAGGAGGGCCTAGGGACAAAGGTGAAAAGTCTAGTACATTTATTTAATGGGATCCTAGCAAAGAACTTCCCAAACATGCAAAAAGATAAGCAATTCAAATAGAAGAAGCCTTTAGAATCCCAAATACATCCGACCAGAACAGGATATCTCACCATCACATTGTGATCCCTCAGGATCAATTCAAACAAAGGAAAGTATTTTTAAAGTTGTCAGGGAGAAAAGATCAATCACCTATAAAGGGAAACCAATCAGAATAACTTCAGATTCTTGGCAGAGACCATGAAAGCAAGAAGAGCCTGTAATGATATATACCATGTCCTAAAGACAAACAGCTATCAACCAAGAATACAGAAGGTTAAATAAAAACCATCCCCAACAAAGAAAAATTGAAACAATATATGTCCACCAAACCAGCCCTAGAAATGATACTTAAAGATGTCCTACACATAGAAAACCAACAAGAGCACCGTAAAAGCCAAGAAACATCCCCCAAACAGAGAATCCAAGAATCATAGGAAGAACCCAGTTAGCCCAGCCCCCAAGAAGGTGGATAACATGGCAGGAACTACCAAACACCTCCTAATCCTAACTCTCAACATTAATGGACTTAACTCTCCAATTAAGCGACATAGACTCTAGCTGGATTAAAAAGCAAGAAACTTCTATCTGCTGCCTTCAAGAGACACACCTTTCCCACAAAAACAATCATATTCTGAAAGTGAAAGGCTGGAATAAAATCTACCAAACAAATGGCCCCCATAGACAGGTGGGAATTGCAATCCTAATATCAGATAAAAGAGCCTTCAAATTAAAATTAGCGAGAAGAGATAAAGAAAGTTGCTACATACTAATTAAGGGAGCTGTTCTAAACATCTATTCAGCAAGTAACGGAGTACCCAAATTTATCCAAGTAACACTACTTTCCTTCAAATCTCACATAGATCCAAAGACATGAATTGTTGGGGACTTTAACACACCACTATCTCCACTGGGTAGATCAACCTGGCAAAAACTCAACAGAGAAACCTCAGATCTAAACAACTGCACAGATCTTTCATGCGATTGTTTCTAACACATATATAAGATTACTTCTTTGTTGCTTTGTATGTCCCTCCCCCACAGTATAACCCCTGCTTTCACTGTATTTGATGTCGGTATAATTTGTGGAGGGGAAGGAGGAAAACAAATCGTTTAAATAGGGATACAGGTGGACCCATTGCAACAATGAGATGAACAAGTTGTTATGTCGAAAACGAAGTTTACAACTTTGGTTGGGGGGGGCGGGGAGGATTGGGTAGGGGGGCAGGGGAGGATGGGATGGGAAGGGAAAACAAAGGAGGAGGCTACAATGCTTGATAAGAAATGTACTCATTATCTTGCCCATGTAATTGTAACTCCTCTGTATGGTAGTTTCACAATAAAAAAGATGAATTGATGTATGTGGTTTATCTCAATAGAGTTATCATACATATGAAAAAAACAACTGCACAGATCAACTAGATTTAATAGACATCTACCAAATATTTCACCCAGCAGCATAAGAATACACCTTCTTTCCAGCAGCACACAGAACATTCTCCAAAATAGACCACATTTTAGGTCACAAAGCAAATTTTTCTAAATTCAGAAACATTGAAATTATGCCCAGAATTCTCGCAGACCACAAGGGAATGAAATTAGACTTCAACACCAAAAGCCACCAAAGAAAATCCTGTAACACATGGAGGCTGAACAACATACTGTTGAACCACCAGTGGGTCATGAAAGAGACTAGAATGAAATTCAAATGTTCATGACATTTAACAAAAATGAACACACAAATCAAAAGTTCCTCTAGGACACAGCAAAGGCAGTACTCAGAGGCAAGTTTATAGCTCTGAGTTCCTACATCAACAAATTGGAGAGATCTGAAACCAACCATTTAATGAGGCACCTGAAGCTCCTTGAAAAAGAGAAACAAGCTAAACCCTAATCCAGTAGATGGAAACAAATAGTTAAAATTAAATCAGAATTAAATGAATTAGAGTCCACAAAAACATAGACAGGAATGACAGGAAAAGAGAGACTAGCTTACACTATGTAAAATGAAAGAAATGTAAACATCACCTGATGTGGAAGAAATAATTGTACTGTCAAAGCTCATAGAATTCACAAACCTTATAGACCATGATAATGACAATTTGCCTTCTGAAAGTTAAAATGTGTTTGTGACTTTAACTAAGTATCACTATTCTACAATTCTGTGAAATATGTGAAATTTATGTAATCACCTAATCTCAATTAAAAAAAGAAAAATGTAAGAGAAGGAATGGGTTAGGAGTGATGGCTGACAAAGTTGTCAGACACCTTGTATTCATATACTGTTTTGTAGAATGGAAACT